TTTTTATATAGATATCACTACTACAAGTAACATGTTGTCTCTCGTTGTAACAGTACATCTATAAAACTATACATACTTTTCATATAGATATTACTACTACAAGTAACACGCAGTTTTATAGATGTACTGTTACAATGAGAGACAACACATACTTTTTATATAGAAACTACTACTACAACATGTAACACGCAGTTTTATAGATGTACTGTTACAATGAGAGACAACACTTACTTTTTGTGTAGAAACTACTACTACTACAAGTAACATGCAGTTTTATAAGTGCCTAGGTACCAGAACAGGCTGCAAGTACTTTACAGAGACTTAGTACGATTGGAAAAATACATTCTGATAGAGATCCTGTTGCACCAACAGATGATAGTTTTATAAGGACCTTGTTGCTACTAAAGCACTGATAATTTAAGTACTATACATTACTCAATTTCTTAATTTAAAAGTAAGTATTAAAAAAACAAAATTTTTTTGTGTCACATGGTATGTTGAATGCAGCACTTTTTCAAATTAGATGTTTGTTAAGTCAAAATACTAAGTCTATAGTTTCGTACGTATTAAGAACTCAAATTACTGATACTGACAAACTAGAATATAAAATAAGAAGGTGTTAATTTTCTATTTGCTAAGATATTGATTATGTAATAAATGAAACACAAAGGCATCCCACCCACCTCTTTCCATTTTTGGAAATGGTCCTTTATATACACTTACTTCTATATATAACATGATTAACCAATCAGAAGCTCAGAATGTCCCCCTAGTGGCTTTCTTGGCTATTTTAAATTCTTAGGATGCCATTTCTTTGTTTTGAACCATAATTTCAAGGAGGTAGGGTGTGTCTTTAGTGTGCTCGAAATTTCATATTTTTTTAGAATAAAATACATCTTAGTTACTAAGCTTGATAAATTATAGTGCAATTCTATGGTATTGATGTAATAATTTACAATTTGTTAGTTATTCAAATGTATATATATATATAAAACCTAAAAAAATTATTTTGTTTGATATCCTCCACGTGCAAAATTTTTAAAGGCTTAGCAACCTATGTCAAACAGCAACTGAGTACAAAGGTCGTAACTAGAAGAGATAATTGTTTGCTTTACTTCTTTATTTACTGTTCTATGTTTTAGGGAAAATATGTTTAAGAACTTATTTCAAAATAGCAATAATCTATACACATATATAATGTATAATAATTGAACTGTGACTGTATTTTGCAAAACACTCGTCGACTAAAACACAGCCAAGTTACTTTGTACAGATCAAAGGTCAGTTTTATGTTATTTGATATAATGAAGAGGCTTGTGGTACTAATTACTTGTTAAATTAAAATATTAGCTTCTTAAATGGTTCAGTAAGAGCTGTCACATTATAACTTTTGAAAAGATGATGTGTTTTTGATTGAAGTCTTCTGTAACGCATTCTTGTTGTCAATGTTTTTGCTAATTTAACACTTCATTTATCAACTATTTATGCCTTTAAGAACCAATTGGTTCATATACTGAAGGTTGGGTACGTTACAATGATTTTGAATAAGCAAATCAGTAAATCCTATTACAACCACAACTGATATAAAGTCGTGGAGGAACTGTATGTATCAGAACTACATTTTGACAATGTTTGGCCTTTTGTAAGTACTGTAATACCACTGATCGTTGATCATTTTTGGGAATGGCATACAATGGCCCTTTTTAATGCAAAATATTCCTACACTCAGATCATAAAGATGTGTTCAGATCAGAGATTTAGAATTTCCAAGATGGGGATATCCCTTGTACTTAATGGCATGGGAAAACAAAACAATGTGAATCAACTTGGGTCACCAGGATCATCCAGAAAGAGACCTGCAACAAATTGTACCTAGCAATGGTAAGAAAAGTGTGGCATCTTGTAAAATGTGAGAATCTTAAAACACAGAGGTTAGTGGTAACAGCTATCTACATGCTCCAGGCAAGAGTATGCAACATAATAAAGAAGGATCTCCATCTGGAAGAGTGATACAATTTGCTTCCATGATATATATTTGCTCAATTGTTGAACAATGAAAGCAGATGGAAAATGAAATGGGTAGTCATGCTATTCAATGCCAGCATATACCAGTCAAGTTGTTGGATGGACTACCAATGAATTTCTGTACAATCAGACTGTTTAAATGAGGATTAGGAAACAGTCGTCTTCATACACGAGATGGGTTATGGGGAAGTTGTGAAGAGGATAGGTATGCTTTGGACATGATAGCCTTATGACAGAGCTTTTTGGAATGAAAACTGTAATGCAGGACTATTGTCAAGATGCACAGTTATCAGACAGAACATGACCTCACATGACAACATGGACTAACGAGGTGCTTCAAATTCATTTTAATATAACATACTCAACCTCTGTATAAGCTGTAGGATGAACCTGGGTATATTATACAAACCAAATTTCAATATTAATAATTAACTAGTGGAAAGTTCATGATGTTAGAAAAACACATAGGTTCAAGAAGTCTTGATAGAAATTAATAAAACCCTATAACCCGAGCGTTTTTGAAAGATGGACCTTTCTTCTTCAGTTTGCCCCTGAAGAAAGCCCCATCTTTTGAAAAGGTTTGGGTTATAGGGTTTTTATTCATTTCTAACTGATGATAAGATTATTGCTAGATTAACTACACATTTGAGGATGGATTTGGTTATATGTTCTAAACTGAATTACTATGTTAATAACTAATTGATGGAAAGATCATTGCTGGTTTAGCTATAAGTTGTAGGATGGATTTGGTCATACTTTTTAAATTAAATTATCATGCTAATAATTAATTAGGGAAAATATTCTTTTGTTTCAGCTTTAAGTTCTCAGTTGGGATTCAAATAATTTTCAAAAATGATTAAAAAGCAAGCTTTAATCAAGTGGTTCCAGTGTAAGCTTTGGGATGTAACTTACTAGATTTTCTAAAATAACTAAGTAGTAAGTTTAGTAAGAAATGAACTTTAGTATGGTCCTAACTGGAATTTTTATAGTGTCATACAAACACGCTTAACTAACTCATAAAAGGATAAACATTTAAATCATAAGATGGTCCTGAATGGGTTTTCTTAGCTGACTAAGCAGCATTTTTAGCTAAGTGGCAGTAGGATTAGCAGGTTTAATTGTAAACTATATGATGAATCCCAATGGACTTTTTAAACTGACTAAGCAGCACCCTGCACTAACTTATAACAGGATTAACTTAGCTATTTAGCTGTAAGACATGAAAGTAGCTTGATTGAATTTTCTAAACAGATTAATTAATTAACTTGTACATGGACTAACTGATTTAACTGAAGACAATAAGAGGAAGATGGGCCTGAATAGATTATAAAATAGACAAAGCAATAAGTTTAACTTATGGGCAAAAGAATCAAGAAATTTAGCTCTCAGCAGTGAGAAATATCAGGGAGAATCTTCTAAACTGACTAAGCATTGTGGTTAACTACCTTATAGAAAAACTAACTAGTCCAGTTTTAACCCTCTGAATATGAGTAGGTCAAAGTGAACGTCACAATGTTTTACAAAGTTATATTCAAAATTTGATTAAGCTATCTTATTATCATGTATGTCAATAAACATGGCATCAAAACATATTTTGTAATTCAAGTTTTTGTATTATCTAAACTTTTATTTCTTAATTTCAATAGGAAATACTCAGATAAGTTCTCAGTTTTCACTTTTCCGTACCATGTGACACTTCTTTGCTCCAAATTGCCCATCTTAGATGTTCTTTCTACCATTATTTGAGTTTCAATACTGCAAGACAGTCTAATTTTATAGCCTCTGATCATCTTGAATTACTGAGATATAAACCACAAAGTCAAGCCCACATGCTACACCCTCCTATTACATACTGTCTTTCAAAAATGACAATTATTATGTTTGACATTTGCTATCACATTATTTACAATCAATAGAAAGAGAACTGAATTCCTGACATAGATAGCTCATTCTGACACAGGTTTTGAATTATTTGGCCTATAGTTTCATTCTTTGTTATTGTCGATTCACCTCAACCAGCCAAAGTAATTATTTTAAACCATTTATAGCTTAATTAAAAAGACAATTAAATTATAACACTTAAAGGTATTCTGTGTGCATGTTATTATTGTGTGTTTTAAATTTAATATTTGAAATAAATTAAAATTCAGTGAAGTACTGGAAATATCTTACCAAATATTAGTTATCTATTATCAAGACTTTGATTGTAAGAAAGTAGAAGATCAATATGCAAGTACTTCATTTCTTGTTTTTTTACATATATATATATATTTTTATTTTTATAAAAATAACTAAAATGTAAAAATTAGAAACTTATTAGGTTAAATTAAAAAACATAAATGAAAAAAATTCTCAATAGATTACGAACTCAAGCTGTTAGCAGGGTGATTGTTAGCTTTGTTGTTAAATGTGGTTCAAAGAGCAATAAAATTAAATGAAAACAGATGTAAACTGTTATGAGCCCAAGGCTGTTTAGAATAAACTATTATAATTTTCTGTTACAACCTGCAATCAGTCATTCTTTTGTTATTCATTGAGGAGGTTCTAAAGGTTATGCAAATTAAGTTAGAAAACTGTAGGATGAAAACTTATTTTCAAATCTTAACATGAAAATCATCTTTCACTAAAACTTGCCAGAGTCTGAGCCACACTCTGATTCCATATATTCACAGAGAAGTCTTTAGTAAAAAAATATTTAATAAAAAAATCAGATTTTCTGTGTACAAAAGACTTGAAATGTTTACTAAAAGCTTGTCAAATTATACGAAGATACACTTACTACATTAAAAGTTATATTACCTATAGTTTCATGGTATCATGGTGGTTGCAAGGTCAGTCCAAATGACCAAGCATTTATAGAGGAGATTAAGCAGTGGAATGGGGGTCGACTAGACATTCTTGAGTAACTAAGAGGTAATCATTGTTTGAAATGTGTCAAAAGTAATCATTGGTGAATAATATGCAATACTTATGGTAATTCTTAATATTCAACATTGTTGTGTAGTGAGATAAGTCAAACCATATACTTCACATTATTCCAGATACTGTAACGCAACTGTGATATATTTTGTGTTTCATAACATGAAAAAATGCAACCTCCAAATTCTTTTTTTTTATACAAAACTTAGCCAAATGCTAATGAATGAAAACTACAGTATTGCATAAGATTTTGTAACACTGTTAGTTTATCTATTGAATAAACAAAGGATTTAAATTTTTGTGCACAAACTTGTATTAGGAGAGATTGTAAGGAAGGTTAAAAATGCAATTTAAAAATAGTTTTTAACTAAAAACCTCCTGGGTATATCAATAATATAGGATTATTCTTTAAAAAACAAAACTAATTATACCATTTTTTTTCATTAAAAAAATAAGCAGTTCACATCTATCTACATGTCTAACTAGCATGATTACCAGAAATGCAGAGCTTAAAGCACCTTCCAGATGTTAGTTTCTACAGCTGATTGAATGTTGCTATAATTTATCTCCTGAGCAAAAATACAGCTGGTTAAAAGCTCTTCTCTGGATTATGTAATAAGTAATCTTCTGTAGGACAAATATAACTAATTAAATGCTAATTTTCACTTGTTATGTAACAACTAAGTTTGCAAATAAAAACAAACTGCTACACAGATGTTCTTACCATGTGGTATCCTACACATAAGCTTCTGCAGACTTTTGACTAAAGGCTCCTTACCTTGCATTATGTCACAAGTCAACTTTTTGATAAGTAAACTGAACCAACTGTAAACTTTTTACCCTTTTGTTATGTGAAAAGTTATCTTCTTCAGGGATAAACACAGGTAATTAGAAAGCCTCTTACCCTGTGCTACCTTTTAAACAGGTTCTCTTCTGTAGCGACAAACATAGTTTGTTCAAAGCTCCTTACCTTATATTAAATAACAAGTTATCAGCTTCAAGGACAGGCACAGGTAATTAGCTTATTACCCTGTGTTACATATTTAACATATTTTCTGGTATATAGAAAGGTATCTTCTTTTGGGATATACACTGTTGGTTGGTAGCTTTATACCTTGTGCCATATAACAAATAGATAGAGTTCGAAACTTTCTACCTTGTGTAATAAGATGTTTTCTGCAGAGACAGACACAACTTGTTAATTGATTTCTGTTAGAAGTTACCTTTTACAGAGGTATAGACAGCTGATTAGGAGCTTCTTTAACGACGTTATATAATAATTACTTATCTTTTGCAAAGACAGAGACACCTTTTTATGTTGTGTTGTGTAATACACTGTCTTCCACAAAAATAAATACAGCTGGTAAAAACATGAAGCATTTGAAGAAATATATAACCTTGTAAGAAGCTGCTTACCTGGTGTTAGGTAACAAATTAGTTTCTGCAAAGAACCTGTGGTAACAAGCTACTTACCTTGTGTTACATAAGGTGAGGAATACATTCCAGGATACATTGGGGTAGCTTGAGGACTATACAGTGTTCCAGGGCCAGAAGGCTGCCCTGAGTAGGGCCCCGACAGAAAAGCCGCTGAATCTGTGCAGTCAGCCAACAAAATTTTAATCATGCCCAAAAAAAAAAACTAACAAAACAAAAAAGAAAGAAAACACATGCAACAACAACAAATTATTTTTCACAAAACAAGATTAGAAAAAAGTGAGAAAATGAAAGTGACAGAGCAAAGGCAAAAAAACAACAAACAAACAAGAAAGCATGCTGGCTGAATAAATATAAAAACCATATCAACTATTTTCAACTTTTTTGCCATGCAATACCAACTGTTGATATGTGCAGTCTCTTACACTATTTTAGAAATTTATGGCTTATTTTTTCACTTCACAGATAAGGAGGTTATTAAAATGTTGTAGCAGTTGAAACTGGAATAAAACTTCAAAATACACCTTTAAATGTTAAGTTTCTATACATCCACTAGCAATGGCAACAATTATGATAAAGTACTCATTCTTCATAGTACGTGTGCATAAAGTGAGACAACATAAGTCATTTTAGTAATCACTTGTTTTTCTGTGGCTACGCAGATTTGACTACAAGAATTCATAAATTCTTGACATTTATCAAGTGTAACAGTTTTGACCATACTAAAAAAATATGTCTGCAGACAGTTACACAAAAAAAAGGAAACTATTACAATTTTAAAGTTGATAATATATACTAGTTTGTACAAATTGTCAACATGAATGAAAAAATAATGAAAATGTTATTGGATTTTAGAATATGAAAATAGAAGAGAATTACGAAGATTGAGTTTTAAAACACATCACTTACACACACACACATGTATATATAAGGAGATAATATAAAGACTATATTAAAGACTCCTAAAGAATTCAGAAAATAAATATATAAAGTGAAAGAACATGTTCTTAGAGGTTTAATGCTTATCTTTGGTTTAATCAAAATTAAACTTCACTCAATGTATACAAGTTTTTGTTATTTTTCTAGCATAATTTGAGTCTATGGATTTTGTGATGTCTTAATACAAATATTAAATTATTATGGTAGCATATCATTACAATTAAGGTAAAATATGTGGGTCACAAAAGATCCACAAAAAACTTTGACTGCCTTTATTTAGCTTTTTCTCTAATGACTATCTTAAAATCACTCTTAGTTAAACTATGTATGTTCTTTACAAGTCATTGTTTAACTACAACACTGGAAGATTCCAGGATAATAACGTTTCAACATTCTTTAACCTCCAGACACTCACTTGATCCAGGTGTTGTACTACTTCCAGATTTTCCATTTCGTTGGGAAGGTAAGAAATTCCTATAGAGAAGAAATGTTTCTTTTTTTAAATGTAAGAATAGAAAAAAAAACAAGTCCAACCTTTATTTATTTTCTTAAAAAAGTACAAAATGCTGAAGAAAACAAGCATCACAATTTTATTTTTTAATAAAATTCCTAATTTTTATGTTACCTTTCATAGTTGCTTTGAGTATATTACAAGTAGCACAAACAAGAGATAAGAAATTAAGGATTAAAACCAGCTCAAGTAAAAAACTATCACTACTGAAATAAAAATCAACATTAAAGCACTGTCTAAAAATATATAAAAAAAAAGAATATTCTAGAGAAGAGGTTCATAACAAAAGCATAAATCTGCAATAGTTTAATTCTTTCTTCAAAGATGAACAAATAAATAAAAACTATTACGTAGTTGTTTCTATAGCTATTCTATTTCTCTAAGTGAAAAAAACCTTAAATATCTCAGTCACACAGCATGTAATACAAACTAACCCTGTAAAGCTAAACTACCTGGATTGTACTTAAAGTCTTATATAAATAACCCTGTAAACCTTAACTACCTGGATTGCACTTAAAGTGTTATACAAATAACCTGGATTTATCACCTCACACTGTAAAGCTGAAGTATACACTATAAAGAGGATTATTACTTCTGAACTATGCTGATTTAATCCAGGTTTTAGATTAACAAGCAACATATTTCTTGAAGTCATAACTGTTTCCACCATCAGCTCGACTCACTATCAAAGATCTCACTGATGATAGGCATACTGCATTCTAAGGTATGCCATGCAAAACTTCAAGAGTTCTGATCTTTCCTGGAATAGGCTTGTTTATACAGGTTCAGAACCACTTTGTAGTAAAGCCTACATATTCCTCCACACAGAAATGGCACACAAATTTATAGATAACAAATTAATTCTTATTTATAGGCATCACATCTTTAAAATGAATTATTAATCTAAGAACAGACTTAAAAATACATTTAATTTCAACTTGTATTTGAGTTTTAAAACTGAAGCAACTGGATAACATTATGTTATATAACTTTACTCTTTAAAACTCAATTATATGGACTGCATTATGTGCTATATAACCATATCTATTGCACTCTTGGTTTCACTCGGAGCCAAAGCTATGAGGTACTTATATGCCCACTGTGAAAAGTAATTGTTGAGCATTTTAGTCACACTAAGAGCCGCTCAACAATAACATATAGCAAATCCACATTTTTATTCTTTAAGTTATGTCACATTTTGAAATGTAAATGATAGTGTGATTAATTCCTAACAACTTAGTGTAGAATATCCTGCTTGCATAATAAAATCAACATTATTCATGCCTGTTCTCCCATAATTTCAAAAGCAGCATGGGAAGCAGCCACTGTAAACAGGAGACAGACGAATGCTCGGACAGACACTATGGTTTGCAATATATATATATATATATATATAAGGCAATCTAAACCCTGTAAACTTGAGATACTACATTATGTGTTATTTATTTACCTAATTGTCTAAACTGAACTATGTGGATTATACATTATCTAAATTACTTGGGTTACATTATGTGTTGTACATAATTTCACCCTCCAAAACTGAACTAAATGGATTACATTATGTGTTACATTCTAAACCTTCAACTATCTGGATTATATGCAATGTGTCCTATTAAGCTCTGTAAGTGTGAGCTATCTGACCTATACCTATTAACCTAACACTGAACAGCATGGATTACACTAGGTGCTATCAAATCTAGCATTGTAAACTGAGCTATTTTGACTACATAATGTGTATCTATAAATCTAATATCCTGTAAAACTGAACTGTATAGATTACACTAGGTGCTATATAATCTAGCTTCATAAACCTGAACTATATGGCTACTCAAACAACTTCAGTGAAGTATTCTAGTCTTTGTACAACATACCTATTTCTGTTTTCAGGAAGCACTTGTTTAGAGGATGTTTTAAGATGCACTTCTTTTAGATGCCTTAACAACCTCTGGAAACTAGGGAAAGGCCTACATAATAAAAGATATGTTCAACTGAAATTACATGATTTGTAATGCAACATTTTTAGCAGTATTTTCTTATTTTCACCGTGACATCTAAACATCAGTTTATATCAAATGGTTCACGGCAACACCATTGTTCATCTGCTTATGTTTATGAGAAGAAAAAATAGTATTGAGAAAAACTATATCAAATCTGTGTAATACTTGAAATGTTCTCTTCACGGAAACTGATAAAATTTCTACTACTATAGTTCTCTTTTCATTTATCTTGATGGATTGTCCTGTCTTATATTTTAGCTCATTCAACACAATTTTTAGCATTTATAACATAAACCTACATAAAAGTTTTAGAGTTCAGTAAAACTCTTAAGGCAATTGGTGTGAAAAAGAAAGCTACTTATGTAATGAACATTATTAACAGAACATAGCTTTTTAGTGTAAAAGGAAACCACTAACAGACAAAGTTAGAGAAAAGGAATTACTTCAAGAGATCATTACAAAATCATAATACACTTATTTTAGTAAGTCATCTAAAAGACAAAGCTACTGTACAGACATTGTTAGGTGACACTGAAATATCAAAAATCAGACAACAATTACCAATGGTAGTGAACATGTGACAAAGTTGTGGAAATATTAGAATGAATCACACGCTAAATTACTAATAATTAGTGAAACCACTTAAAAGACAAAGAAAGATAAAATAGTACACATAACAATTAAATTAAATTCACTTATTTATAAAATTATTTAAGTACAAAAAGTCATAATATAAATTTACTACAGAAATCAAGTGTAAAATTCTTTCAAGATAAATTTACTATATTAAGAGAAATAGCTTACGGTACTCCTTTCTTTATTCTTGAGCAGTTTGTCCATAAACATTGGTATTCTCCCTCTGCTGGTTAAAACGTCAGTAATTTAGTAATCAAAAAGTCACTGCCACCAGTAGTATTATGAATTCATACCCTAGTGCTAACAACACTTTTCTTTTTTTACTTAACCCAGGTGTCTAATATTTATATGGGTAACTATACTATGTTTAATTAGCTCATTGAAGCCACTTGTAATAAGTGTCCCACTGGTGTGTCACATGGTCCATATATAAAAGTCTGTTGTGACCCACCAGTGGGGCATGTGGCAGCAAACGTGTTAAGAATTTCAAAAATAAAAGAATTGTGAATTGTCATATTGTTCTATAAAATATGATTGATGGAAATACAAGTTTGCTCTTTTAATATAATCTTGACAATTAAATTTAAATGTGGTGTTGTGGGTAGTATATTATTTCAAGACATCAGAAATCTTGTCACTAGACTTTAATGTTAGCTTTATACTAAAATGTGTTAAGTTTGGTTTTTAGCAAGAAAGTTTTTATGCGAGTTTGAATTTGTTTGAAACAAAGCAAAGCATATTCAAATATCATGAGAGATAACCTGGCCACTCAAGTAGAGCATTGTGAAAAAAATAAATAAAAAATTGCAACTTGGGTTTAAATTCAGAGCAAAATTCTTATATGAAATACAATGTAACTCACATGTATGTAGCTACATATACTGATTATGCTTATAAAGAAAAATATAAAACCAACACAACATCATCACCTTTACCCTTTGCCCCCTTATAGGTCAAGTGAACATGACCATTTGGTTCAGTTAAGAGATGATCAATAAGATCCTGAAGATCTTCAAACTGGTGATCACAGCTATCCCAAGAACACTCATACACAGTATTCTCTCCTTTTTCTGCTCCAGCCAAGTTACTGCTTTTGCTATCTCCATGTCCTGAGGCTGGGGACTGAGGCCCACTCTCCGTTGTTTCCTTGGCAGCCATTTCTTCATTTTGTTTCTGAGCTCGTTCTTCGTACTCTGCTTTTGTAGCTGCAGGAAGATTTCTCCACTGAATAAAAGAAAACCTACCATTATGAAGGTGAAACTGACAGAAATAGAATGTAATGTTGACAAAAAATAATATAATGTATACAAAAAGATTAAACTTTTATAAGAACATATATAAAAGAAAAAATATAAGAAATGTGAAATTTTAACAATTTAATGAATAAGAACTATGAAATACCTACTTCTGCTCCAATTAAACGACTAATTTCCCCAAAAGTACGATCAGGATTAGCAGTAACAACTCTTTTACGAACTTCACAGGCAAATAATATGTATCCTGTGACTATTCTTTTGACAGATTTTGTCTGGAAACAAAAAAAAAAAAAGAACAATACAGAATTTTAAGCAAACATCAAATGTATTTCTTCTCAAAAACTTTTACACAAGAAATGTAACAAATCTATCAACAAAGAGATTCATGAAAAGGTAGCAGGACAATTTTATAAAAACAATAAAAAAATGACAACATAAAATCAGATATCAACATTAATTGATGAAATGTTATTATTCAAAGTTCTAAAACATTGAAAACTATATGTTTAGCAATAAAATGAGATAAAAGTTAAATAAATAAATGTCTCTAGGTGGATGAGTAGCTAATTTATCCAAGTATCATTAGTCAAGTTTCCTCCATCTTTCTTTCTGCTTAAACAAGTGACATCAACTCATTATCAACAAATTATCTCAAAGTTCAAAAGAGATCCTTTTCCATCAATCAACAATATCCACCTGTACTTGTATGGACAGAAAGGTCTCCTCTAACATAAGCTTCTGTTATCACTTTTTCAGAGACTTTTTTAGGAAGAACAGGAATAGTAAGAATGCATTTATCAAGAGGCAAGTACTTATTTTAATCATAAATAACAGAGATTTCAAATACAGTTCTTACAGATAAATGTGTAGCCAGAATCCCCTCAGTGAAAAATGAAGGGGAGGGTATTGAAAAAGGATGAAAAGTTTAGACAGCTTCTTCCTTCACTTGGAAAAAGAAGCATTAACCATATAAAGGATGTAACCATGTTTGGTCATAGTGTTTTCCCATATGTCAGCCAGAATGACACAGATTGCATTTAATATGAATGCAGGGCTATAATCACCTGTGCAAAGTCATGCTTATTGAGAAGAGGGATTAGGGATGACAGCAGAGGTTCATTTTATATTATCTCCCTATATGCAACAGGACTGGTAACCTAGAAAATCATCAGAACAGACATACCCCCCAAATTAGAATGATACATAAGGAAGATATCTAACAGAATTAAAACTTCAATTATTGACACTTGTGAATACTACTATAGACAACATTTTAAAACAGACCCTATCCATATGATAAAGGCATAAAACAATGGCTCTAAAAGGAACAGCTAAGAGATACATTGTGGTTGCTAAAAAAGAAATTTTCCCATCAAGGCAATTTCAGTCACAAAGAGGGTAAGTTTTAAGTATGTTCACATTTGAGGGAAGAAAATGTCTGAAACCTCAGGCCATGTCTTTCTCCATTGGATGGCACTTTTGTTTTCATTTTTGCAGGAATGTGAAAGTATCCGTTATTAAATTCTTGAATGTGTCTGTAAAAGCTCTTCCTGTGAGGTGGAGCCACTTGCTAATGAAAGGGCAACATGGTGAATATAAAAGAATGTAAACTTACTCAGAGAGGTACATATACAAGCTCAAATAACATTCTCTACGAAATGAAAATGAGAAGTTGTTGTCAATAACATTAACAGGTGGCAAATCTAAAGTGATGTGAATTAGAAAATATTATGTAACTAGCCATAAAGATCCCCATATACTTTATAAATGAATAGTACATTCAAATCAGAAAAGTGGCAGGTGTTAAATCTGTTATTAGTTAATTAACTAGTGGATGAAGAGTTGAGAAGATTCGATAAAGAAAACATCAGTTTTGGATAAAATAACCATGCAGACACAATAATTGTACATTTCATTGAAAGAAAAAGGATTTATATCATCCAAATAAATCACTTATTTAAGTCTTAGGCAAAAGAAAAGTCGTGGTTTAAGCATATCTCTGATAAACAGGTCTCAAAGCATTAATGGCATACAAATCAGTGTAATGAAAATCAGATAGAGTCAGAGCAGCCTAGAGTTTGAAGAATCAACACAATATCCCAGTGTAGATGAAATGGGCATATAAGTAAAATAATTCCCGAAGTGCAAGAAAACCACAGGAAAAGGTTCTTGGAAAAGATGAATGTAGTTAGCAAAGAAGCATGATAGTAGCTCTGAACTAGCATGTGTGTATATATATCAAGACTCCAGTGAAAAAGCAAGATAAAAAAAAACCTGCTAGCTGTGATATGGAAGATGACAATAATTCATTCAAGAAAAAAGAAGACAAACCTCAGACAGAAGGATATTGTGATAGAATATCTCAGAAGCAAATAACCCATTGAAATGAATATACTACCAATGAAAGCTAGATTAGTTAATTTGTTTTTAGATTTTCTTTCAAACTACTCAAGGGCTATCAGCACTAGCTGTCCCTAATTTTAAACTGATAGATTAGAAAAGCCTCAAAGTGTAGAGAAGAAATTTTATTTTTTTGTGAGAATGGGAGACAAACGATGGACTTGCACATCCACAGTCTTACATGCTAACCACTGAGCCAAACCAACTCCTGAAAGCTGAAAAGGAAGAATGCTTATACAATAGAGCTCTTGGTGGCTGAAAAAGATTTGCAAAGTAACTAGGTAAACATGGTCTGTATAAATAAGGAGGTGTAAAGTATTCCTAGTATGACTAAACTGAGAAAGAATACTAGATCCAGACTTCAAAGGGAAAGATCTTCAGGTTAAAGTTAAGGAATTCATATTGTGTGAATCTTAAGGAACTTGTAGAATTTGAGACAGCAGAAAATGGAATTTAATGACAAAAAGAAGAAACTTGTCAGATTTTACCCTGTTCCAAATATGGCTTCACCAACACCATAATATTTGTAGGAGGAGAAAAACAATCAGCAATAGATGAAATAAAGATCTTCCTGAGACGAAGGAGCATTCTCAAAAACCCATTCAACAGTAACAAAATCCATAAGAAATACCCAAAATAGACTGTTTTCATGAAGTTGGCAGAGAACTCAGAGTAAGTTCCACAACACGAAAAATATTCAAAGATCTAAGGGAAGAGGTACAGAAACTTTATCAAACAAAGGAGAATTAGAAGTTTTAGTAGTTACATGAAAAACTGGAACATAATAATTTATTATGCTGGATATGCTGAACATTCAAAAATTTAATCTCTACTTAAACTGTATCTCTGAAAAAACTTGTAAAGAAACTGCAACGTATAACAAAGAGAAACAAAGATCCTACATTAGAGGAAACCTTACATGGGATTAGAAGTTAAATAACAATAATTGGTGACGGGAGCCTTGTGAACTAATGTAACGACAGGATTGCATACACCACATAGAGAGGTATCATGCAGCATTTGAAAATATATCATCATCATAAACAACTGATGGGACAATTAACAGTGCTGAAAAATAAGCATCAGAACAAAACTACAAAAATTATTTGAAATGCATGTAGATAATCAAAAGCACAGGTTTCTTTAAGTTCAGGAAACTAAACATATCACCTTATGTCCAATTTTGACTGTTTTCTTGGTTACAGACAGAGAAGCAAGTTTTTTAATGATCAATTTATATTACTTTTTTAGATGCTCACAAGTAAATTAATACTCCTTGAATTCTAATACAGACTATTTCTTAAATACAAACCAATCTAATACATACTTCTTTGTTAGAAAATATTTCTAATGTCTAATATATACACCTGGAAAAAAGTTAAGCACCCCCAAATATTTTTCAGGATTGGTTATTGAAAATAAGGTTTAATTTTCATGATGTTGAGCAATGTTCATAATTTCAAACATAATTAAAAGGATGTGAGCATTCAGGTGTGACATTTAAATCAGGCACGTTTTTTCCCCACGTGCAACTTGCTCCCTTCTT